AAAAAAAAAAAAGAAAGAAACAAGAAACAATTCTTTAAATTCAATTTTATTTTATCGGGACAAAGTAGATAACGTACACCATATTAACCGAACGAAACTTGAAAATGGTACATTCTAAATAAATAGAGAAATAAAATTGCCACCTTCTTCTTAAAAGACGATCACGGTGATCTCGTATTAGAAATTTGAAACAACCCTCCATTTCGGCGACGTAATCACCTTAAAATAAGACGCGTGGAGTTCGTAAGATTTTCTTCGACTCGATGAACCTGAATCTTTAATACGGCGTCTGGCGCGCGTTTTAATCCCTTGCAGACGAGGGGGATCCATATCGAGTTGCTCTGCTAAGGCCACTTCCGGCCCCAGGGACCACATATCTGGGGACCCTTTGTTTACAATGTGAATCTTTACGCGGAGAGTGCAGTAACACTACCCTCTCCATTCACAAATATATTCCGAATTCCAATCGTGTATTTCACTTTAATCGCGAGAAGATCCATCTCGAGTAGGGATGGCGTGAAAAATCACTAACAGTGATCAGTTTCACGATGATCACACAATCACGATCGGAATCGTGATTAAAGTTCGATCACGACCGTGTTAAATGTTATCGTTAGTGTCTCGCTGTCTTCCCTCAGCGGAAATTCAAGAAACTACAAATGAGTCAAATTTAAATTGTATTCAAATTATATTAACATTGCTTTTAGACCATATTGTAATACATATATAATCTAAGAACGACGTAATTCATAATTTAAAAGAAAAATAAAAAAGAATGTTCTCTACGAATCCGAAGCGATCACGAAGAATCACGAATCACTGTGAAAAATCATCGTGATTGAGAATGAACGTGATTGAATCGCGAATGTTTCAAAAGCAACAGTTCGCGCCATCTCTAATCTCGTGTCGATTTTACGCGCGGACGATGCGACGGAGCTACAATTTCTTTTAAATCGGTATTTATATAAATAGTACGTACATCGGTCGAGCCGCGAATAACGTCGCGCATGTTAACAGGTTGTTCCCGAGCCACTTTGATCGCGAGTAATAAATAATCGGTGCTGGCAGTCGCGGCGTTCGCTTTCAATAGCGACGCGTTGATACGTGCCAAATAACACCTGCAGCTTTCGTAGGTGGAGATCCATGTTTTACACGTATGTAGCCACTCGTTTACATCGAACAAGCGGACACGTTCGATCGGCGATCGAGAGAGCCGGGACAGGAACGGGCTTTTGTCCTACTGCGCCTGCAATTAGCCGCTACTTCCGTCTACGTCGATGGCGAACCTCGAATACTGCCTCTTCAAGGTTGCCGCCGCCGCCCCCTCCCCCCTCCCCCTCCCCCTCCCCCTCCCCCCTCGGCTGACGGCGGCAATCGTTCGATCACGAAATTATCGCCAGGATTCTCTCGGTGCACATTTCTTGGACCGTCACTGCGTTAAACGTAAAATTGAACTTTAACGGACGAATCGGTCGCTTCGACTGTGACACGGAGAAGGCACGGGATGCGAATCGTCGCGAAGGTAACAGCCCGGGAGTAAGATAAAAGTGAAGACTTCCGTTGCGAAGAGGAATTAAAATTAGACTCGTTCGGGGACGGGGGAGGGTCTTCTGGGTTAAAACGGCAGGAAGAGGCGACTCTTAAATTTTGTCCTCGGACACCGGTGTACGCCACAAAGTAAAGTTTTTTGTTTTTTGTTTTTTTTTTTTTTTTTTATTATTAAAGCTATTAAACCCCCTACGGGATTATTAGCAATATGCAGATAGCTGTGCATATTATCAGTACATATATAGATTTACATTATAATATATGAAATACAATACAATACGACAAAAGAATTTCGAAAAAAAGAGTACAAAACACGAATCAAGAATAATAGGCTCATCATTACACAATTGTTTTTCAGAAATTTGTAATATTAATTAGCAGCGGTTGAACGAGAGGCTTGTACGGAAAAGCATCCACCGTATATGGAGGATAGTATCCGACTTTACATAATTTATAAATCATGTCATTACGATCTTTGTCGAACAACGAAGCCGGGTAACATTGCCAGATAACATGGTTGAGATCTTGCTCTGGACAACCACACTCGCAGTCAGAATTTTCAAATGCACAAAGTAAAGTTACGAACGACTTTAAAAAAAAAAAAAAGAAAGAAAGAAAGAAAAGAAAAAAAAATGTAAGTGTTTGAACTGAATCTTAATTCGAGAAAATCGTCGAGCGGTACTCCCTGCAGCGATTGGGGTATAATATTGTAAAAACTCGAGGAAATCCTCGGACCGAAACGATCGCGTTCGCGGGTCGAACCGGTCGTCGCGGTCTACGAAACGCGATGTTGTTTTAAATTCGCACGTTCGTTTCTGTTACAGCCGTGCGGGCGGACCGGATGAGAGGCGGTAGGAACAAATTCGGACCCATGTACAAGAGAGACCGAGCGCGGAAACTGCAAATGATGAGACAACGGCAGCTGGCACTGCAAACGATACGCGGCAGCCTCGGTGATCCATCGAACTATCCCTCCGCCGTAACGCCTTTCCTGCATATTAAACAGGAGATCCAAATACCTCAGGTCTCGAGTCTAACGTCTTCTCCAGATTCGAGTCCATCCCCCGCAGCCGTGGCCGCTGGTCTGGTCACGACACAGGCTGGCAGCGGAGCTGGTCAGCATCAACTGATCGCACCGTCCTACCAGCCAAACATTTCTGGTACAAACAACCTGCACAACCTCAACCCTGGCCTGGATAGCAAGCTGTGGGCTGCCAATTCCACCACCCCGAGTCCTAAGGCCTTCAACTTCGGCGAACAGTCCACGCAACCTCAGGGAGCCGCTGGTTCCGCGCCCTCTACAGCCGCCTTGAAAACTAGTCCGATGATAAGAGACTTCGTGCAATCGGTCGACGACCGCGAGTGGCAGGCGTCCCTTTTTGGACTGTTGCAAAACCAAACGTACAATCAGTGTGAAGTGGACTTGTTCGAATTAATGTGCAAAGTGCTCGACCAGAATCTGTTCTCGCAGGTGGACTGGGCAAGGAATTCTGTATTCTTCAAAGATCTCAAGGTTAGTGCCAATAAATACGCCCGGCTCCTTGAAATCTAAATTACGAATTTTACCGCACCAAACTGGAGCAGCTTTTCGTACGCGTTCAAATACAATAGTAGCGTCCGTCAGGTTGAGTCTTGGCAGACCAGGATCGTCGTCTCTGTCCATTATGTTCCCTCGGCTGTGATTATTTTCGGGACGATCTAACGGAGACGATCTAACAGTAAATGCGACCGAGAAACGATTAGAGCGAGTTGGAAACTGTGAGATCGTACGAGAAACTTTCACTTTCCGGTTTGATAGTCATTTGTAACTGGAGACACTGTCTGTCGCATTTCGAAGATAACGCCAAGGCTCGTTCAAGGTGAACAGTCGTAAGAAGTGGCGGGGGATAACTTCATCTCAACCTGATGGCCATTGCTGTACGAATCACACGTACACGGGCCTTTTTCATTAGTATGCTATGTAACACGCTAAATTCATCGTAATTCAGATTTCTAGGCGCTTAGCCTGAACACCTCTGATGTAACGGGTGTGTCGTAACACGCGAACAAGGACGGATTTACCGGGAGGCTGGGGAGGCTTCGACCTCAGATCTCCGCGTCGGAAAGACCCCCAAAAGGTCCATCATTTTTTTAACTTATCCTCTTATTCGAAAGCACAGAAGAAACATCTCTTCTTGACAAAATTCTG